CTATGAGATGGATTGATTCGGTGACTGGGGTAATCGGGATGGGTGTGTCAGAGGCAGTGCGGTTGGCGCAGGATAGAGCAGGGTTTAGAGCTGTTATGCATAGGGTCGCTATGAGTCGGAAACGACTCGATGGCACATAACAACAACAACGTTTCTTGATTACATGTTTGATCAATTTCAGAGTACACATCTAGGTCAGTGACACCTCCCCCCATTCTAGTTCTAATCCACATGTCAGCCTTAGTTTCAACTCCCACTCTTAGAACAATTTCTAATTTTTAATATTCTACAAATGCCTCATACTTATCATGTCTAGTACTAAAGTTTTCATAGCACTTTTGCCTTTTGGATCTTCTCTTCTAAAAAGAATTATTTAAAATTATGTTCTCAAATTTAATTGGTATAAAGACAAACACATCCCAAAACTATTGCCCTAAAACAACCCTTCAGCCTTAAACAAAAAATATTCTCTGATGTCTTCTTAAAACCAAACTAGTTTTGTGGAAAACAATGTATAGGAACTTTGTAAGTAAACCAGTATTAAAAAACCCAAAACTAGTTGTAACATAAAATAATCTAGCTGGTAAACAATCTGCCTTCAGCATTGTGCTCTTTTAAGAATCTTTATGAGATCAAAGTGACAGTAGCACCTGAAAAGGTAAGACAGGAAACTTAAGGGAAAGTAAGTTTATGTTAATGAGGTAGGAACAATTCAGTAGAGGAAGGTGAAAATGTTTACACAATTCAAAATGTGTAATCAACCTCAGTGAATTATAGAAATGTCTGGCTTGGTATATATTCTATTATGTATACGCTCAACAACAAAATTAAACCATTTTTTAAAAAAGTATGAATATATTCCAGCTTGGATTCATTATGGTGTTCTTATTTTTTTACTTCTGATACTGAAAGAAAACATTTCCATGGACTTCTAAGAGTATCACAGGCCCTAAGCACTGTACCCACTCATACTGTCCTGTATTCAATTTATTAGTGAATGGCATCATCATCCATCTACTTCATCTACTTTGCTCCAGTGTGAAATCTCAGATTCATTCTCAAGTCTTCTGTCTGCACATTAACAATCTTAAGTCCTTCTACTTATTAAGTCTTAACAATC